TAAAGTTAAGAACCTGCAATAATATATACTCTAACAAATTATTAATAGAAAAATGACAATTAAGACAATGCAAAATCACACATTGGAAACCTCTTGAAATCAAAGACACAAGATGAACAAACATGCTGGCAACAGTAATGAGGAAGAACTCTCTTCTAACAGACGGAGACCTTCAGCAGAACCAGGCTCAGGGAGGATCTGCCTCGACTAGTTGGGATGAGGGTTTAAAACCTCCCATAGGTGTTCAGTTAGGCTGAGATCTAGTGACTGACAAGGCCATATCCTGTCATTTTCATCATTCAGTGACCCTTGGTGGCCCAGTGGACTAAGGCTGAGCCATCATGGAAGAGACCACTACCACGAGGGTAGAAATGTTTCATTACAGGCCAACGGTGATCACTCTGAACAACTTTGTCTTAGTTTGCAGTGACTCTTCCCTCTAAGAGGATAAGTGGAGCCAAACAATGGCAGCAAAATGTCCCCAACAGCACGACTAAGCCACCAGATTCCCTCACTGTACGGATCAAGGGTTTAGATTTTTCCTTTAATCTGTCACCCATGTGAATATTCAATGTTCTATGGAGAAAAATAAATGTTGAGGCAGAGATTTCACTGGTTTCCTTCGCTGCTTTTTTATTCCTGCTGCTATGCTGCCACCCAGTGACTCTCTGAGGCAACAACTCATTAATATTAACCAAATTACTCAGACAGCAGAGAAAAAATGAAGGCTTTTTATTTAACAAAATCTTAGACACCACAAATCACAACATAGTAGAAAAATGATTTTAAAAAAAACAACTAAGATTAAATTAAACAGTCATTAATATGAAAGATCAACAGTGAATTTGGTAGAGAAGTAGAAGGTTTGCATATGTTTGTTTGGTGGTCACTAACTCACTGTATAATAATACAAAAGTGTAACAAATTACATAACAGCACTGAGTGACAAAGACCAAATGTGCTTCTGCTACAGGAGAATATTTATAAAGACCGATGAGCCGAGATGTTTTACAGATCAAAGAGTCTGCAGGTTTTCATTCAGCCACAAACTGCAGCAGCTAACTTCAGCGATCAACGAGGTTTCAGGCAGGAAGCATAAACCGAAACTAATCTGTGAAATCAAATGGTTGAAACGAAACCCAACATACATTCAACACATCACGGCAGATGGTTGCCAAAAATAAGCCACTAGAAATCTAGCGCATGTCTAGATTATCACTACAGATTTTGAAAAGCATGGTTATATTAAAAAGCCCGTTAAAATCCACATTTAGTTAATTAAAAGTCTAATTCTAAAAATCGGTAAACAGCAACTTATTATGGTGTAAATGTTGTCCTACATCCTTCTTGCACATTTAAACAGCTGATAGAAATCATGACAAAGTAAAATAACTTTGCAACAACATATACTGTATGTTTTGACTGTCTAATTAAATATAGATTACATAAAAAAAGATGAAAGGCACATGAGGCAGGTGACATTATGTTCAATGACACACTCCTCGTTTTAAAAAAGGATTCAGATTCCTTTTGCTTTTTGCACAACAATGAAAACAAACTCCTCGAGGCGATAAACGGTGATATGTGAAAAAACATGCGTCATTGTTGAGCATCTTAAGCTGTTCCTTGTATCCGTTTAAAATCATATGCAGATGTTGAGTGCACCTGTTATCAGAGCGTATTCTCATTATGTTTCAGGATAAAAGCCGCTGCCAGCTGAGGGTTCGTTTGATGAGCTACCGACAAAGACCGAAAAGGCCAAACGTGTTCTGCAGGGAACATCCTCAAAGACAGCCTCACGTGAAAGTGTGATTTTGCCATTTACACGTTTTTGTTTTTTTTCTCTGATCGAGGTAGTTCATTCACATAATCACATGAACCCAAAGCTTACAGTTCCCACACTGACTGACCTCTTTTCTCTGCACGCCAGACAATTCAGACTTTGCTCTCAGACGCAAGAGGTCAAACATTAAAACATTACTTAACACTATGGATTAGTCCTAAAGTTGAAGCTTGAGCTAGAATAAATTACCACCAAAGGGAACTTTTTGGCTTCTTGCTCTGTTAAGAAGTTTGAGATTAAAAAATAAATTAAAAAAAGTCAGTGATTTGGGTGAACAGAATCTGCAACAACCAAACAGAGACTTCCCAGATTACCAGATCAGTGTTTCCCTCCTGAAGATTATCTACCCTCATTAGCCCAATTCAGCTTTATAGCAGTAGATCAAAGGCACCGTTTATAATCTCTAAACTCTTGCGAGTTACCAGCTTCAAGATAGTTCAAAATAATCCATCCATCCATGAGCTACACCCGCTTATCTTGTAGAGGGTCGTCAGGAGGGCTGGAGATTCTCCCAGGGCGAGAGAAGTTAGAAATAATGTCAGCTGCATTATTAAAATATATATTTTAAAAAGGCAACAATATTGTATTTATATTATTATATTTTTCAAACTGTCGAGATCAGTTTAAATCAAAGCACTACTTCACTTTAACCTGCTGTCCAGATCGCTCAGCACCTCACTGGTATATGTGAGGAGATGAACACAAGTGATGGTGCTGAAAACCCAATCTGAAGTCTGAAAACAGAACATTTATGTCTGTAAGTAAGAAACTTGTTTATGCCTTTGTTTCCATTTGAATGCCTCTGCTCATGTGTGTTCAGGTTATTATAATTTTTTTAAAAATTATTATTATTACTCACTGTCTGCATCTCCCATTAATTCAGGCTCGGACACAAACTCGGTCCCAGTTTAGACGCTGGGTATTTGTAAGTTTTGGCTGCATAGCTCCTGCTGCTCCTCCAGATCAAATGTCAACCGTCTCAGATTTTTGGAGCTAATGATGTATTCAGGCAATGTGTGCCAGTCAGAGAGTCACGTATATTTAAGTTTGCATCCAGGCAGCGGACCTCCAGTGGTGTGTAAATACCAGTGACAGACTCGAGTGAGTTTCACACCTGAGTTTAGCACATTTCAGATCAACTCAAGAACTGAATTTAAACTGCCTTGAAGGGTTATGGTCACACACCCATTTACATTCTACTTTTCTGTTCTTTCTTGTGACTAACAGCTCACCAGGCTGCTATCAAGAACAAACAGTGGAAAGGTTACGTCTGTCTTCTGCTACTTACACACTGCAGTGTTTTTGTTGGTCTATTCCAGGCAACGACTGCCATAACTAAAATATCAAATAAATAAAAAGAAATCATTTAACATTTCTCAACTTTAAGATATAACGAGGGCCGCAACTTTTACCTTACTTTTACTACTTCGTTTTTTTTTTTCTTTTTTTGATGACTATACACAGGGGGCTAGGATTCACCAGTCAAATTCCTTGTTGACATGTACACATGTGGCCAATAAAGCTGATTGTGATTCCGATGAATACTACATTTAAAAACAGCAGCACACTGGACGACACAGATAACACCAGCTGATGCAATAAAGACTGAAGCCAGACGAGGCTGGATTTTCCTGCTGCACATTGTAGAGATTTTAAAGCCTCTTCAGCCCCATTTTAACATAATTCATCTGGAAATGTGGTTTTCAAAGTATTCAGTTTTAGATGTTTTAGGCTAAGAAATTAACAACCCTTAGATTACCTTCGACATAGATTATTGCACCACACGAACCCACTGACCTTTATTACAAAATAGAAAACAGAGAAAATCATTTAAATTTTAGCGTTTGGTTGGAATGAGCATATTTTGCATAAAGTGTCCGATCGCTCACAGCTATAAATAAATTGTTTTAACCTTCAGTTGTTGGATAATATGTCAGCTTTTCATAATGCACTTTTGACAGGGGACGTTCTTACTCTGTCAGTGTCAACTGCAAGTTAACTGGCTTGAGTTTATAAAGAACTACAAATATACAAATGTTGGGATGAAGTGCATCTTTGGATAAAGTCGTGATTAAGACAGACGCATGGGGACAGTGTGTATTTCAGTGTGTTGTTGCTGGGCTTAGTATGTATGAGCACAGATATGATTTTGTGTTTCTGGTCATGCCGCTGAAGTGAACAGTCTTTCTGATGCTGGGTTTTCAAGGTTTTGTTTTTCCGGCAGGAAATCCACAGCATCCAGGTCTATTGTTGGTGTCATGGCTGTCGTAAGTCTCTGAGGATCAGAGAAGACAAGGTTTAAGGAACAAACATATGAACTGTTGCAATATTTCATAGTTTTTGAGAACTCTTGGAGGACTTCCTGGCAGTTCAGATATTCCTGTTCTCCTAGGGATGAAGCACTACCATCAGAACAACACTGGAATTTGCATATTTGCCCTCAGCTATACTTTGTTTAGCTAGGAATTAGCAAATCAGCTGATGTTGGCTTATCACAGGTATATCAGTATTGGCGTATCCTTTTGTTATAGAACAAAACACTTTGTTACAGAACATAATGCGAGAGATAAGACATTTGGGGTCATTTACAAATGGTGTCATCGCATGGTTTGTCCAGCAGAGTGCGCTCAGACTTCATAGTTACATCACTCTTAGTACTGCCTGCAGCACATGTAGCAGAGTATGTATCACAGCTGAGCAGCTGCTGCCGTAAAAAGTCTTCTTGTTAATATGCTGAGCAGTGTCTCAAATATGATGCTGTATAGAATAAATAGAAAATAACCCCATCATTTTCCCTTACATATGACAAATATCAGCAGGGAGTTTGCGCTTTCGCCATCAGTCCGTTGTTTCAGGACACCTGCTCTGAGGATTAAAAGACTCCACGTCTCTTTCATCCTGAGTGCTACTTGATATGCTCAGTGGCGACCAGCACTCTGGCACTACCTGTGATTTATTGTCGATGCTGTCCCTTTGTGTTCTGCCACTACGTGAACTCTTGCTGCACAATAAATTTCCCCTAGTGGGACGATAAAGACAACCTTGAACCTTGATCTTCAATATAATGACATTTTTACGCCTCAAAATCAGTATCGGAGCAAAACAGTCCAACACTGTTTGAGCTCTAATTGCAACTATGAGCTTTTTAGCACGCTAATGTTAGAATTTAGCTCAGAGTCTGTGTCATGAGTCTTGTACTCACCTGAAGAAGTGATCCTTTGTTATTAAAGACCTCCTGAATAGCACCAAGTGGGATCCACACTATGGAGACCAGTGAGACGCCCCAGCCCAACCCTTCAGCCCACCCTGGGTACGTGTACTTGCCATAGTGAGCAGGAGTGAATTGAACAACGCTGGAGATCAGTATGCACTGTGTAGCAAACACAACAGTCTTACACACTGCCATCATGGGGGATTTTAGTCACACAGGTTAAGCAGGACTCACCAGCACCAACAGAGGACAGAGCAGGAGCCAGCAGGCACGAAAGTAGATGCTCGGGGTTTTTCCAAGCATCCTCTTGACCATTAAGGAGATCCGTGGGACACCTGACAGAAAAAAGTAATTTAACAACAGTGCACTGAGTATAAGTGTCTTTAAATGTTGAACAAAGTTGGTAGAGTTTAATTTTGTATTAAGATTCAGGATACAATGTTATGTCTGATATACGTCTGCAGTTCACAGGAGTGTTTGTACATGTTAAAGTAAGAAATGTTGTAATTTACAGACTAGTCTACAGATGCAGTTAATGTGGATTACAGCAGCAACACCATATGAATACAGTATATTACTGGAAAGCCTAGTTACAGTATTAAACAGTAAATAAATATTATAAATATTCTACTGCAGAGTCCTGTATTCAATCACACAATACTTCACTTCAGTAAATTACAGTTGTGACACTGCAAAAATAAAGAATAATACTGGTGACCACTGCTACTAGTATTACAATTTAACTTTACACAGTAATTACCTGTTTAAATAAATCACGATAATAACAATTTAAAAATACTTTAACTGGAATTTTACAGAAAGTGTTGTAACAATCTATGTGTTTGCATAAACTAAATTTAAATAGAAGTCGTGTAAGGTAAACGTAATGATGGGAAACTATCAGAAGGTTGAAAATCATGTGAGGAAGGTGCGTGAACTGTCCGAGGCAGCTTTGGTAAGACTGTTTTGAGAGTCCTCTGTGTCATTTCACCTGCTCAGAGGACATTGTGCAAGAACACGATGTTCAGAACACAAGACAGACTGAGCAGAGATTAAACGAGCCTTTGATATAAACATGACATGCAGCTCCTTGACATGAGAGGAGAATCAGGTGATTATAACACACCGGTGGGCGATGAAGCGCGCTGAGATTTATTTAAGTTTATGCATTCTATGGCGGTCCTTATTGGCTCTGAAATCCAGCTTGGCTTGTTTTTTATTCTCTGTATAGTGTACAATAAACCTAAAAGTGGACCAAAGATCACTAACTGCTCAGAATTTCATTGCACTGATAACTTGTTTATTGCTGCATATGACAATAAAAACATTTTAATCCTACACAGTGTGTAGTAATACTAAACATAATCCAGCCAACGTGGCAATGACAAAGGTTCTCCACTACAATCTAGCAACTGAGCTCTAATGTATAATGTAAAATTAGAAGTTTATGAGTGCTACTGTTGTTTTGCAATCAATAAAAGTAGATTTAATTCATCATTTTAATTGTAGTGCAACTGATTGCCATTTGAAGAAAAAGAAACAAGCTTGAACATTTTCCTCTGCCACAAAAAAGTCATTTACTATCACAGTAATAAAACGTGAATATGAAAGATCCATCCATCCATCCATTATCTATACACCGTTTAATCCTCACTAGGGTTGCGGGGGGCTGGAGTCTATCCCAGCTGACTCAGGGTGAAGGCAGGGGACACCCTGGACAGGTCACCAGTCTATCACAGGGCTACACTTAGAGACAGACAACCAAACACACTCACATTCACACCTACGGACAATTTAGAATCAGCAATAAAATTGTTTTTGGACTGTGGGTGGAAGCCAGAGAACCCACGCTGCACGGGGAGAACATGCAAATTCCACACAGAAAGATCTCAGGTGTCCTAACCGGGACGCAAACCAGCGACCTTCTAGCTGCAAGGCGACGATGCTAGCCACCAAGCCACCTTGCAGCCCAAATATGAAAGATGCTCCAATTAATTGCCACAGCAGCTCCTGGGTGTTTTCAGGTCTAACGTTTTCAAAGGACATCTGAGCTTGAACATGTGAATTTTGTTAGTATTTTACCAAAGATCCAGCAAACAGCCACGACTTCAAAGAAAGCCAGGAACACGAGGGAAACCACAGCCGTGTAGTGGTCCATCAGCTGAAACACATAGATGCCTCCCTGTGAAGGAGGGACAACAGGGAAGAGAGAGGCCGAATGACAAAAGTGCTATCACCAATGAAGCAACTGTTACCACAGGTAGGCCATAAAACATCATCAAATATGTTCCTCTGAGAAGTTCAAGGAAGTTACACAGTGTACATTACCTTACAAATGTGTGGAATCCCCAATACAAAGCAGAGAAAACACACAGTCAACACTAGCAGCTCTTCCCTCTTTAGAAAACGCAGGAGTTTCGGGCCAAACTCGTCCTTTATGAACGTCACAGCTACCTCAACCGTGGCAAACTGCAGAACACAAGATTTATTTATACAAGATAGAGATTTTTTCTGAGCAAAACTTTGGACTTGCAGCATGTTTGCATCTTTGTTTGGAGTGCAGCTATAAATGAATCTGTAGCTTCATGTTACGTTAGAGTCTGAATGTTATTTTGGCCACACAAACTGTATGTGAGTAATAATTTCCAAGTCAACGGCACAAAAAAATGGACGGTTAGGTAAACAGTTACAGAGAACTGGCCGACTGTACTGAATAACGGTAAATATCTACCGTAACTGTTTTGCTTGAAGTAGTTGAGTAATGAAACATCACAGGACAGGCACACAGTACAAGAGAGCAGCTTCCACCGGACAAAAAGTCAGAGGAAAAAAAGAAACCTCTCTCCAGACGAGTGTGTGAACATTTTCTTACAAATTCAATGATGCAAAAGCTCTGACTTGTAGCTGAAAATATATAATAAAAATACAGATTCAAATGTGCAGCGCTCCAGCGTTTTGCTTCATCTTCACAAACGTCCTCCTCCGTCTTCACACTCACGTGAGAGCTGCCCATGTTTACCTGACTGTCCAGACCCAGGCACAGCAGCATGAAGAAGAACAGTGGAGCCCACAGTTGAAAGACGGGCATGGTGGAGAGGACTTCAGGGTACACAACAAACACCAAACCAGGACCTGAAACAAGACACAACACAGGGGTTGTTACTGCTGTAGGAGGCAAATTCACAGAGGTCAACAGGTTCAGGCATCCATTAGCTGAGCTGCATTCACTCTAAAACCCACCAGAAAGGCATGTTGTCTTCAATAAAACATCAAAATGACACCATTTATCAGTCAGAAAATATAAAACAGAAAGAATTGTCAGATCTTAAACTTTCCAAAGATCCTTGAAGTAACTGTGTGACGTGCAGTTCCTTCAGGAAAACTAATGACAATAACCTGAAATACACACAGAATTGTACTAAGTGTAAGTGTGAAGCCCTGTACTTAGG